AAATTATATATATATATATAAAGGATTTCAGCTGCCTTAGCATTTCAGCTGTCTCCAACTTCCAGTGAAAATTGAGTTGACATTTTGTTTTGTATTTTCCTTGTGGTTTTTGGTTACTTTTCAGGAAAAGATGAGGCAATGCTGAACTCTACACTTCCACCTGCATGTTGAATCTCACTCTTTTCTTCTTGAAACACCTTGTTCATGCTCTCCTGGTTCTCCCTCTACCATGCTGGATGGTCCTCCTCAGTCTCTCTTGCTAGAGATTTGTGTTTTCCTGACTTGAAAATGTAGTGCTTAAAGGTATAGGCTTTGCCATATTCTCTTACATATTATCTCACTCAGGGAAACGGAAAGTCTTACCAGGCCTATAAAGCTCTCTCCCCAGCTAACTCTCTAACCTTATCTGCTTCTTCTCCTCACCGGACTTCTTCTAGTCCACTGATTTCCCTGCTGTTCTCTAATTACACCAAACACACTCTTTTCTCAGGATCTTTACACCCGCTATTCCCCTGGTCTGGAAATTGCTCCGATAATCCATGGCTTGCTCCATCCCTTCACTGAAAACTCTATTCCACTGTTCCTATTTAAATGTTCGCCTCTATAAAGAGGCTTCTTCTGACTTCCCTTGCTAAAACAATACTCTCTAGGAGTCTCTGTCTCTTTCATCTGATTTTTTCCTCATGTTGATTACTACATGGCTTATTATGTATTTATTTGCTGACTGAATCTACTGACAGGAGTAGAGATGTTGCTTCTCTATTCTCTGTGCTTAGAATGTGACTGGCACATAGCAGGTCCAGAATAAATATTTGTCAAATAAAGGAATGCATGAAAAAATGCATGTTAGGTACCAGAGAGAAAGTGAACGATGGCCATTGTTGGACAGAGAGAAAAAAAGACAGAAAGGTCTAGGATGAGGAATATAGCAACTGGATTCTACAAAAACCAAGAAAGTCTCTTCCTAAAAGTCAGACAGAAAAACAAAAAACCTTTATATATGAGAATATTTGAAGGCTTGATATTAAAGGTATGGTGGTCATCTTTTTCCATTACTTCTAAAAGCCTGGAGCCTCTAAAAGAGATTTCTAAAATATATTTCAAAGATTCTAACACCTGGACTGGCCACTTGGGATCTAATTTCCCCCAGCTTCTTTATATCTGACTTCAACTCACCTGAGTGGCTCTGACTTGGTGGTTCTCTCTTTAATATCCATGGTTCGTCTCCTTGCTTCAACTTGACTATCAGCTCAGGTTTGGTAACACAGTGCCCTGTTATGGGAAATGACATGAGACTTGGAGAAGTTGCTTAGGATTCGGGCTCTCTGAAGGACAAGAAGGGAGAAGCTCTAGAAGCTACACAATAGTGGTGTCCAAATGTGCTTCATCAAAGTAGGTTGTTTCACCAGGGAAGTAAGAATACAATAATCTTCAAAGTACCCTCAAAGAGTCTTGACTCCCAAAAACATAAAATTCATCACTCTCTACAATGATTTGGTTCCTAAGATAGGAAATGCATGCTGTTTGGAGTTGCATGGGAAGCTGGGCTTACCCAGTGATACCAGGTGCCTGTAGTTCTCCAGCATCACGTCCCTGTACAGGAGCCTCTGGGCAGGGTCCAGCAGCTGCCATTCCTTCTGGGTGAAGTACACAGATACATCCTCGAACAGCACTGAGCCCTGTAACGGTCCAATCCTACTCCATCAGAAGTGCTCAAGACTCAATGGCATGAGAAATATATATGGGAACCAATCCCTACCATATTCTCTGTTAAAAGTTTACCAGAAAATGTTATAAAGGCTGTCTGACATGTACCTTCCTTCAGGTACATTTTATGGGGGAACAGAAACCATAATAGAAATACTAGGCCTTTATGCTTATTTACAAATCCACTTATTAATTCATAAAACAACTGGAGTTTCCTCTACATGCCTGGAACTGTTCTAGTTGCAGAGGAGACTAAGGCAAAGAAGACACTGGTCCTGTTTTTAATGCTCTTCAGACTGTTGAAGAGACTTTCCATACAAACACACACATGAAACAATGAATTATGGAAGCCATGAAAACAATGTGTGGTCAAGGTAGAAGGAGGTCACAAAGCGGGAAAAAATTAATCCTCAGGTTATTCTTCATCAAGGAGGGTAAGATTTAATTGCACACAAGCAGTGAGTTTTGTGTGAACACGGGGCAACGGCATAAGCCAAGGTGAGGATCATGAACACACGCCTCAAATGAAAGGAATTAACAAGGTAGTACAGGGGATAGAAGAATCAGGTTGGGGACTTGGGAGATAAAGAACAATAGAGGTGCTCTGTGGTCAGACAGAGGGATTTTAGACTTTCTCCTATAGACCAGTGGCCTCCAAAATATTTAGTCGCTCGGTAAAAATCTGAGCATCCCTCGGTGTATTTATAAATTATTTATATACACCACTCTCAGCCACTCACCAAAAGTAAAGCTTAACAACTTTCTTAGTTTTGTTTTAGATGCAAAACAAAGTTACATGGATATTCCAGTACTTTCTTTCCATGCACCATCTGATTGTCTTGCGCAGTTCTCTAGAGTACACGCCTCTACTTAGGAGATAAGTAATGTAAACAAATTTATATTTTGAAATTAATGCTCTGGGGGCAGAGTGGACAATGCTTTGAGGCAGTGGTTCTCAACTAGTGGCAATTTTATGTGGAAGCATGTTTTGTTGCCATGATTGAGAGGGGTGGGGTTGGGATCTAGTGAGTAGAGGCCAGAGATACCACTAAACATCCTACAATGTACAGGGCAGCCCCTACAACAACAAATTACCTGGCCCAAAGTGTCAATGGTCAAGGTCAGGAAACTCAGTTTTAAAGGGAAGTTAGAGAGGAAGATAGTAGACTAGTGTGAGAGAGACCATCTGTCTTCATGTAGCAGCAGTGGGGACTGAGAAGCCCGAACTGATTCTGCACGGAATTAACTAGATGTTGTTATACAGTGAAGGGCAAATGGAGCATTGTTCTCAGGTTATCATGAGAGCAGCTGGGCTGATGCTGGTGCCATGCACTAGGATTGCCAAAACAGGAGAAAGAATTGGGCGGAGAAAGAGACCGAGAGAGAGAGAGAGAGAGAGAGAGAGAGAGAGAAGCCTGGGACATGTTATACTTAAGATACCTGTGAAACATATAGGTGAACACGTCCAGTAACAGTTGCATATAAGGTCTTACAGATCAGGAGAGAGAGCTAGTATAATGATAAATCTTTGGGCCAGGCACAGGGACTCATGCCTGTAATTCCAGCACTTTGGGAGGCCGAGGCTGGTGGATCATTTGAGGCCAGGAGTTTGAGACCAGCCTGCCAAGATGGTGAAACCCTCTCTCTACTAAAAATATAAAAATTAGCCAGGTCTGGTGGCAGGTGCCTATAATCCCAGCTACTTGGGAGGCTGAGGCAGGAGAATTGCTTGAATCTGGGAGGCAGAGGTTGCAGTGAGCTGAGATCACTCCACTGCACTCCAGCCTGGGCGACAGAGTGAGTCCATCTCGAAAGAAAGAAGAAAGAAGAGAGAGAGAGAGAGACAGAGAGAGAGAGAGAGAGAGAGAAAGACCCAAAGAAGTCACTGAAATCTGTTTTGCCCTCAGTAAAAATTACCTAATTCATAATGTGGTTGTCAGAATTATATGAGCTAATCCAAGTAAGGAATTTAACAGTGACTGGAACATAATATGCAGATCTAAATTGTACATAATAGTAAAGCTGATCAACTATTATAATTTTGGCACTTTATCTTCAAACTTGTAACAATAAAAATGACCAAAAAGTGTATATTCTAATACAAATTATTATTGTTCCAGTAGCTGGAAGGTGTGGTGTAATAGTTAGCAAAGGATTCAAAAAATAGTTATCACATTAAAAAAAGAAAGTGAAAAAGAAAAGTATTTAGATGATTTCTGAAATGACAGAAGAGTGTATCTTGTTTACGTATACTATTGATGAAAAAAATTCTGATGTTGACAGAAAAACATGTTGAACATATCAACAGTAATCAATGATAATCAAAAACAGAATAAAGATAAAATGTGGACTTTCAAAAACACTGGAAGAGAGAAAAAGAAGGTAAGATAATAATGCAGGAAAAAGTCAGGAAGTGAAAAAATGAAGAAAAAAATGGCCAAAAAATCATGGTTACTAAAAATGCAAAGTACCTCTTCAGTTTCACTGGAAGAACTGAATAATAAGTAAATAATTCACCTGGGATGTGTTCATTTTCTTCTGATCCTGGAAAAGTTTAGAGAACTGTGGAGGCAGAGCTGTAGGAGGGAGAAGGAGCAAAGAAATAATGAGCAATCTGCTCTACTTTGAAGGTCTTCTTAGCACATGCCTAGAAATTCACATATATCTGCTGGCAAATTGCTGAACCATGGGAAAATTTCTTTTGACCCTTCAGAAGTGGCAGGTAGAAGTTTCCAGAGGGGACTCTTATAACCCTGATATAACCACTGGAAGCTAAGACAGTCAGGGTTTTCACTGGGGAAAGCAAATATTTGTTTCTTACAAACCTCCTTGGATATAGTAGCAGAAAAATATAAGCCACACAAAATCCAACTAAAGAGGCCTGGTGAAACAATCATGTTACAACAAAGGATGAGATATCATGCCATCTGTCCTATTACCACACATATTACGGACTGAATTTTTTGATGTCTGATTGATTGATATTTTACTTTACAATTATCCAGCAGAGGCAGGTAGTAATGGGGAAAGTGTACACACGTGTGTGTGTGTGTGTGTGTGTGTGTGTGTGTGTGTGTGTGTTGGGGGGGTGGTATATAGATGAAATAAAATTGTCCAATGCTGGAGCTGTAACAAGCACCTGGGAGTCATTTTATCATTTGACTTTTGTATGTTGTGAATATTTCCATAATAAAAAGTGTAAGAAATGATATAGCAAAAACCTTACCAAGGTGTGCTCATTTACTTTTCAACTTATATTTTAAATTCCTTGAGGTTAAAGAATTAACGGGAACCTGTGACAACAAAAGTACTTGTGCTTTAAGGGAGTCTATTTAAAAAAGGAAAATGTTTGTTCTCCTCTGGTTTCAGTGTCTCCAAATATTTTTTTTTACTAAGAAACTTGTTTTGACTTAACTGAGACAGGTGGACAATGGCCTAGGAGTCAGGGGACTTGGTTGGGTTCTTTTTCTGGTTCTGCCACTAACATATAATGCAAGACTAGATTACAATAATCTAGTTATAATAATATTAAGATACTGGCAATACTTGTAGTTACTACATAACAGGACTTGTTCTAAGTACTTTGTAGGTCTTCTTTCATTTAATCTTTAAAATAAAGCCAAGTATTGCTACTATTATGACTTCCATTTCATAGAAGAGGAAACCGAGGAGAAGACTGAGCAATGCGGTGGAGCTGGGCTTTGAACCCGTGCAGTCCGGCCCCAGAAGCTATGCACTTAAGCACCGTGTTAATATTTTTCACTTTTAAAATGAGGCACATTGACATAACCCCTGAAAAGCTTCCCTGTACTCCTATAAAGTCAAGAGTAGGTAATGGGTAGCATGTCCCTAAACTCCAGATGTGCGATGGGCGGGGTTTGAGGGCTCTGCAGAATCTAGGAAGAGGGCTGGAGCATTAGGGGCATGGGAGGAGTTTCCGAGAGAAGTGGTGATAGTATTTTCCCCATCTGTCCTCACCTGGGTGTTCCTCCTCCCCCGCAGCCGGCCTCCTGCCCACCATCCTCAGCCCAGCTCACCATCCTCAGCCTAGCTCACCATCCTCGGCCCAGCTCACCTCTGTCCTTTGACAGCTGGCCCACACCTTCGCTGACCAACGGTTCTTGGCAACCTCTGAGATGCTGAGTTATTCAGGGCGGAAGAATCGGGAATTGCTTCAAGAGCAAGCACTTAGAGATCTGCCTATTTTCCAGATGTCCTTGGTGCAGCTGTGTGCATTTTATCAGAGAGGGTGGGGACCTCCCAGGTGGGATTCCTGCTTCTGATGTCCCCTCCTCACAGAAGCAGGGTGACCCTGGCTGGGGGGAAGGGGGAATAAATTCAGATAACTGGGACCTTCAGCCGGGTTCCAGCTCTCCATTGGAGTTCACCATCTCCTACAACAGCGGCTTTCAGTGTGGACCCCAGACGAGCAGCATCAGCATCACCTGGGAACTAAATAGAAAGGCAGATTCTTGGGCATCTCCCCAGACTCACTGAATCAGAAGCCCTGGGGGTGGGACTCAGTCGTGGGGTGGGGTTAACAGGACCTCCAGGTGATGCTGATGCTTATACGAGTTTGAGAACCACTGCCTGCAAATCTCCCTTGGGAGCCTGAGAACTGCGGAGGGCACAGAGAGATGGACTTTGAGGCGCCCAGAGGCCTCAGTTATACAGTATCCCGAGGGTTCTGCAGAGAGACCAAGAAATCTCCAAGAGCCTTAAGGAAAGGCTCAGTCCCTGCACACTCCAGTTGGCACGTAAAGACATGCCACTCTGCTAAGTGCTGTGAAGCATTCGATTTGGAAACAAAACCGTTTGAGGCTTGTATCTCAGATCTGTCACTTGCAAACCATGTACCTTCACCTCCTGAGTCTCGGTTTTCTTCTCAGTTAAAATGGAATGGGTAACACCCACTTTACAGAGTGTCTTTGATAATCAAATGATACATCGAGTGAAAAGAACAGCAGGAAAGGCAGGCCACATTTCCAGAGTGCTTAGAAAATGCCAGGACCTGTGCGCAGTGCTTTCCAGGTGCTCTCTTGTTCAACACTCAGAACGACCCTGAAGCAGGTTTTAGAAATAACTGCATTTTACAGATGGGGAAACTGAGTCTTAGAGGTTGGGTTCATCACTGTGTTCACAGCGATCCAGTGACAGAGCTAGGATGTGAACTCGTCTTACTTTCAAACTCAGGCTCTGCAATCAGCTTACAAGGTAGGAATGACAATATAGCATAAAGTAAATGTAAGAATTGTTCTCATCCCCTCTGGAGTCGTGGGTCTGGCCAGCTGATGAATGGTTGCCCAGGGAACCTGCGAATTTGAGGAGCTTCTGGAAACAGCTCTTTAACATGTGAATGCCTTTTCCTGGAGCCCCCTTTTCTGACGGGAAACCTGTGCCCCCTTCCCTTATCTTCTTTGTGGAAACTGCAGATCCGCAGCGGGCCTCCTCCTCTGTCTCTGGCTTTCTTGACGGACAGATGCAAGGCAGACTCGGGAACAAGCGCCATAGGGTCTTAACCCGCGTGGGATTTGAGCAAGTTTTTGCTTCCACAGGCTGTGAACACAAACCTACCCCAAGCCCCGCAAAGCAACCCTCCAAGCTAGGCTCTCACCTGCAGAGCACATCTTTCGTGAAGGACCTGATCGCTGAGTTACGCGTAGACACGGAGGCTCCACGCTGATCCGAGACTGGAGTAAGGAACAATGAGGAAGAACTGCACATGCGCAGACGGGGCTGCCAAGGACCGGTCCCCGGGGCGCTCCTGGGACGATCCATCAAATTCCAGACTCTGTTTCCCACAAGTCTCCGCGCCCCCTTCCTTAGGGAATGTCTGAAGAGTTTCTGGCTTATTTGGGGGATTTGTAGTCCAAAGTCATCTCTACTTTTGTTTGGAGCCCTAATTCCTCATAACCCACCAGGTAGGGGATTTGAACGCTCTCCACCTACAATCAGTGTCACTTCAGACGCAAAGCTACAGTGAGAAGAAGGAAAGGTGTTTGCCAACTGCACATCTGAAAACAAAATTAATGAAAGCCAAGCAACATAGAATATTTACAGAAAATAAAGCCAAGCAGCAAGTAAAAGATCGTTAATCACGACCAGCAAGTTTTTTTCCCCAGAATGCAAATACCTCCTCCACTGAAACTGAATTTCAGAAGTAAAAACCTCACATAATGGCAAATACACATAAATCAAAGGAAAACTTAATCTAAGAAGTACACTCATAATCTCCCTTCCAGGGATGACCATGGTCAATGTTAGGTGATATTTTTATTGAAATGGGACTCCAAAATCTCAATGAGTTATTTGGGTCTTTTCATTGAACATGTTGTTAATAATATCGTTGCTCTTTTAAACTTTTTATTTTGAAATATTTTAAACTTACAGAAAACTTTCAGGGATGATTCATTCTGGATGATCATCTGTAAATCATTTACTGAGATTCACCAACGGCAAATATCTGACTCCTTGCCTTTTGCCTACTCATCCTCATCACCAGTTGAGAGGGATTTGTGCAAGTTACAAATATGAACTGTCACCCCTACAACTTTAGCATATATCTCCTAGAACAAGGGCATGTTTTAAACATAACCACTACACAATGATCAAACCCAATAACTGAAACAGATATAACAGTATTATCTAAAATCTAGACCATATTCAAATTTTACCCATTGTTATAATAATATCCTTCATATTTTTTTTTCCTGATTCAGGAGTCAATTGAGGATCATTTTTACATAGAGTTGTCATGTTATTTAGACCCCTTTAATCTAGTTCCTTGGCCTCTCTCTGTCTTTCAAGACATTGTTAATTTTGAAGAGGACGCAACAGTTGTTTTGAAGAATGTTCCTTCATTTGGGTTTGTCTGATTGTTGCCTCACAATTTGATTCAGGTTATACATTTCTTGGCAGGAATCCTACATAAGGAATGTTATGCTCTTCTTGCTATATCATGCTAGGTCAGTGTGATAATGTCAGTTTATCCCATTTTTGATAAAACAAATTTTTTGCACAACTCTCCCTTATTAATCTACCCTTTTGGTAACAATGTATTGATCTCAAATCTAGCACAGATAGCAGAAAGATATAAAGTACCATAGACTTTGTATTGATTCAAGTTGGAAGATAACTTTTACACTAAAATTAACACATACTGAAGAGATAAAAAGTTCTCAAAGTTTACACACATATAGAAATGAAAAATGAATAAAATTTTTAATTAAGGATTATTACATTTCAAATTATTTAAAGGGAAGCATACTTTCAAACACCCTAGGAACAAGCCACTCAGCATTATGTAACCTTGGAAGAACTCTGAAACAGTATTTTTCCACCAGCAAACCAAAACATGCACCAATTGGCAATAGACAGATGCATGTCTTCTTACTAAGAAATGGATAGTACACAAATGCATATTTACTGCATAATTTTACTTCACGTGAATAACTGCTAAACATGACAACATACAAAGTAATGGTAAATAATTAAAAGCTTAATGAATAAGATAAATAAATTGAAACTAAGAAGTGCAAAACTAAAATGGTAATAGAAAAATAAAGAATTTAATAAAACACTGTTAGAAGAATAACAAAATACTCTTCTGAATACCTGCTATGAAATTATCTATACCCATGAAGAATAGGCATTTTCCAACACTATAATTGGTACTTGTGGTCATATTCCATAACAGATACTGAAAACTATCATCTGTAAAAAATTTGTTTTTGGTTTTACTTGGGAAATGTGTTTCGTACAAAAGGGCGGTTGCAAAATACAGAGACTTTGGCAACTGTTAGTATAAACTGCACCATTTTGCAAGCCCCCCGCCATTTCACAGAGCTTGGTCAAAGTGAAACACTCTATAGGGGTTCAGGTCCTGAGAAACAATCTTATCATACCTTGCTGGGCAAAGGCTCAACTGAAGAGACATCCCTATCATATCCTGCTGGGCAAAGGTCCAAGGAACATCTTATCACATTCCACTGGAAAAGGGGCCAAACCGTTTGACTATAGGTACATCTTATCAGTAACCTGCCAGACAGCAAGCCAGATGGCCCAGACCCCTCCTGCCCATACCCATAAGTACCCCAGCCTGTAAGTGGTGCTGGGCTCTGGCTTTAAGCTGATCCCCCATCCCTGCAGGTTTTTGCAATATACCTGTGTTGATGTTGAGCACCCCCTCTCTGTGTGTCCTTCTTTAATCCTCACCTTCCCTTCAAAACCTAACAACAACAATTACTTGGTTTTTGCTTAAAGTTAAAGAATGAGTGGGATCCGAGGAATCACATGGTAGACCAGGAGCATGTCCAAGTTATTTTCAGGAAACAGAGCAACTTGTACAACGGCAAAATTTCCAACAGAAATTCTTTTAATAACTTAGCTTGTCTCAGGGATTACCATCTCCCCCTTCGGTAGAAAAGTGTGACTTATTACTGTAGGCCAATTACTCCACTACAGTAAACATCTTAGAATGTAGTTTTGAATCACATCTGTTTACCTGAAAGCTCAGAGGTAGAATCAGGCAAATACCCACAAAAACAAACACAAAAAACTCAACAACAAAACACCTCGAATGAGGACAAAGGTTTTTTCAAAAAGTGCCTGGACTAGAAAACCTAGATTGTAAAACCGTGAATACAATTCTGTATCCAAGCCCCAGTTTGTGTTAATATGTAGGATAACCAGATAGTTTTAACTCTATGGCTAACCCCATTTCTTTATTTATGCAGACAGACAGAGCTAGTACTGACATATTAACAGCTGCTTTGTCCTTTAAGATCTATCTGCCACACAGGACTTAAACCACTAAGCCAAGTTTCTCTGCTAAGGCTAAGAATACTGCATCTATGCAGGGATGAGAAGCTTATTACTTACTTACATTCATACACACCAAACTCTTGGGAGTCAACTTCCAACTCTGCATTAATTTTATGCCCTCTATCTTTTATTTGCATTCTTTTTCAATTTTCCTATCACACAACACATGATAGGGCTGGGTGCGGTGGCTCACGCCTGTAATCCCAGCAATTTGGGAGGCCAAGGTGGGTGGATCACCTGAGGTCAGGAGTTCAACACCAGCCTGGCCAACGTGGTGAAACCTCGTCTCTACTAAAAATACAACAATTAACCAGGCGTGGTGGTGCATGCCTATAGTCCCAGCTACTTGGGAGGCTGAGGCAGGAGAATTGCTTGAACCCGGGAGAGGGAGGTTGCAGTGAGCTGAGATCGTGCCACTGCACTCCAGCCTGGGAGCCTGGGTGGCAGAGTAAGACTCAACCTCAAAACAAAAATAAAAGCAAAAACAAAAAACAAACAACGACAACAAAAAACCACAGCAGAAATCTCAACACATTCCCACCTGATTCTGGTTACCCAGTAGTATCACTGGTGTACAATTAAGCAAGAGACAAAAACCACAGAGCAAGTGGACAGGGTGGGGATTACAGGGTAGGGGACAGATATGAAAACACAGATGTGCAGATTTCAGCAGAAACCTCAGGGATCCGCATCCTGCGTTGGGGCAGAAGGCTCTTAGCAAGTGTGAGTCCCTTCACCCGTCACTCCTATCCTTGGACCCCAAAGCAGGGTCACAGCTTTTACTTTCAAACTTACGGTCCTTAAAATGACTGTGTGAAGAGTCCATAAACACAATCTGATTGAAAACAGATGACACCACACACCTACACGAACTGTCTGACCATTAAATTCATGTTTCAAAACACTAACTTCAGGATTTATTTTTGAAACTTTTTTCAACAGAGAAAATAACACACTCCTTGGGGAAAGGTCACAAATTGAGAAGACAAGCCCTGGGTAAAAATTATTAAGACAGCACTGGAGCTGATAGACCTGCCTAGGAGAGAAACACGGGCACTGTCACACCACCACAGGGGACAGCTGCTGTCTGAGGTCAGCAGTCCAATTCACACGCCAGGCAAGGCTGCTATTGAGCCAAGTCATAAAAATCCTCCAGATCATCATGGAACAAGTCCCACTCATTTTCAAAGTCTGTCAGTTCATCATCGTCATCTGCAGCCAAAAGCATAAGCAACGTCTCACCCAGCTCAGAGGTGACAACCTCTTCTTTATTGTTGTCAGAGGGGTCATTGTTATCTCTTTCTTCCAGAAATGTTTCCTTCACTGGGCCCAGTATCTGCTTGCATGTCTCTGTGTATCCTTTCTATGGCCATCAGGGTAGTAAAAACACTTTCCTCTAGATGGGCAGCTCCCCCATCCTTCATCAAAATCCCTGCACACCTGGCTGCTCACTGCCTCCTTGTCTTTCTGGATGTGTTTCTGCTTCTCTTCTTTCTCCCACCCAGTACTCACTGGGAATGACAAAGTGTGATCCAGCATTCTGGATAGGACACTATAATCTTGCTCTCAAATAGCTTAGTGCCCTTCCACTTGTAAATACACTTGAGATAGGAGGTAGGCATGGCTGCAGCTGGAGAGGATCCCAAAACCAAGCTCACTGGGCCTGCCTTTCTCACAGACCACCTCGATGAAGACCCCACACATCGTATCCTTGCTGCATTGCACAGCAAGTGAGAGCTCCGTTTCCTTCTCATGGGCCTCAGGGCAAGATCTTTATATGTTGTGGTCCCTGGGCAGCATCCATTGGATGTCGGATCTGCAGTTCACATAGTCACATGACTCTGTGGCGATACACACAGCTCTACCCATTTCCACCCCTCCCACTGCAGCCTAAGGGCAAAACGGCTTCTTTATCACAAGCTGTTTGTTCTTTCTTTGATTTTCCCTTGGTCAATGCAGAAAGGGGCAGTGCAGCTGCAGTAGAGTTGGCCAAGAACAAACTCAACAGCATCCACCCAGTCCTCTGAACCTGTTCCTACAGTTGCAAAGTTTGAATTTGACTCAGCTTCACTTGTATTCATTTCAACAAATGGCCCAACTATGGAAGAGACTTGAGGAAGCAGCAAGGGATGGTTTTGTAGTTAGATCTGTAGCAGGTGCTTCTTCCCGTTTCAGTGGCTTGCTGTGTTCACATCGACAGCAATCTCCATAAACACAGCACCCTCGTTGAAAATACTTGCCAGAGAGGGAATGCAAGTAGCAACCATTATCTCCTTCCTTACAAATTCCATGCACAAAATACCTGCAGGTGACCTGTTTGGTTCAGCCATTGCTGCAGCTGCTGCCACTCCTTCTTCCCACCCCCAGGGCCGGGGATGGGGTGGTGACCATGGGACAGGGGTGGGATAGCTGATGTCGCAGGTCCTGCTCCTGATATTGTGGCTGTTGTTCTAGGGGCTGCAGCCCCCTACGGTTACCGTTTATCCAACACACCCATTTTCAGTAAAAATTAACTTTGATCCCACGGTTAAGAGGATGTATAGGCCAATGTACTTTTGTTGTATTGGACCGAGCGTAGAAAGTTAGCACCAAGACAAAAGTATGCCAGATTGCAGGGTCATTTATTATGCCGGCGACCACAGAGGACTCACGTCTCTCCAACCTGTGGCGTCAAAAGGAGGGTGCCAAGACTTTTTATACCCGAAAAACCACCTTGGGAGTAAGGGTGAGGAGTGGGGATGGGGATGAAAAGGTTTTGGACATTCCAAGGGCTAGGGGATTCTGTGATTCACCTCCTGGGTGGAGATGAGGGCGGGGGTCTCCGGACATTCCAAGGGCCAGGGGACTTTTGTCATTCTGTTTGTTACTTCAGTGGTTTACAGAAGTCAAGATAAGCATTTGTTTACACACAGATCTTAGTTATCCTGGGCTGCTTGTTTTAGTTATTACTAAATAAAGCAAAGGCTAGCAATTCTGGCACAATATCACACTTTTATATCAATTGTTTTTTTCTGCTGATGATTATATGATAATAATAACTTTAAAATGGTAAGGTCCAGTTAAGCATAGTGCCTCAGGCTTATAATCCCAGTGCTTTGGGAAGCCAAGGCAGGAGGATCACGCAAGCCCAGGAGTTTGAGAGCATCCTGGGCTACACAAAATGACCCCATCTCAAAAAATTAAAAAATTGGCTGGGCATGGTGGTGCTCACCTGTAGTCCCAGTTACTCAGGAAACTGAGGTAGGAGAATCACTTGAGTCTGAGTGGTCCAGGCTGTAGTAAGCTATGATCGTGCCACCACACTCCAGCCTGGACAAGACAGTGAGAACCCATCTCAAAAAAAAAAAAAGAATAAACTATGATAAAGGTGGAATTTCTGGGGAAGGGGAGAAAATCATGTTAGGAAACAGAGGTGGTGGCGGGGAGTGCGAGATTATCTGTCTAGCACATACACCCTATAACACATAAATTGCATGTAGACTTTGGCTTAACATTTTTAACAGTAAACCAGAAGGAATCTAGAGGAAAATAGAAAAGAATTTTCTTATCTAATCTCTAGGTAAGCATAGCAAGCCATCAAAGGCAGTGGCCACAAAAGAAATGACTGCCGAATTTTACTCTAGACAAATTTAAAATCTTACTTTTAGAAAAAAAAATAAAAACACACTTAGAAAATACATTTGGTAAGTATATGAAAGAAATGGTTTGTTGACTTCATTTAATTATCTCTTACACATTTATAGGAAGATTACACTACCATAAAAATGATCTATGAAAATGAAGGGCAAGTAATAAAAGGGAAATGCAAATGAAGAAAAAATGTGTGAAAACAGTCCATAAACTACAAATTAAAAATGCAAATGTTAGCCGGGCGCGGTGGCTCACGCCTGTAATCCCAGCACTTTGGGAGGCCGATGCGGGTGGATCACGAGGTCAAGAGATCGAGACCATCCTGGTCAACATAGTGAAACCCCGTCTCTACTAAAAATACAAAAAATTAGCTGGGCATGGTGGCGCGTGCCTGTAATCCCAGCTACTCAGGAGGCTGAGGCAGGAGAATTGCCTGAACCCAGGAGGCGGAGGTTGCGGTGAGCCGAGATCGCGCCATTGCACTCCAGCCTGGGTAACAAGAGTAAACCCCCTCTCAAAAAAAAAAAAAAAAAAAAAAAAGCAAATGTTTATTATTTATTTATTTTTTTGAGACAAGGTCTTGCTCTGTTGCCCAGGCTTGAGTGCAGTGGTGAGATCTAAGCTCATTGCAACCTCCACCTCCTGAGTTCATGCGATTCTTCTGCCTTAGCCTCCCGAGTAGCTGAGATTACAGGCACATGCCACCATGCCTGGATAATTTTTATACTTTTAGTAGAAATGGGGTTTCATCATTTTGGCCAGCCTGGTCTTAAACTCCTGACCTCAGGTGATCTGTCCGCCATAGCCTCACAAAGTGTTGGGATTAGATGCCTGAGCCACCACACCCAGCCAATAATGCAAATGTTTAAATACACTTTTTGGCCTTTATAGCTGGCAAAGATTATAAAGAAAAATGATATCCAGGATGGGTATCAGTTTGGGGAAATGTTAATTTTCATAATACTTTAGAATATAATTTCTAAAATTATATTTGTTGGAGACCATGCCACACCAAGATTTAAAAGGAGCATGCGCTTTAATATAGCAATTCTATTTCTATTAATGTGACCTAAGGAAGTAGTTACCCAAAGATACGTGTGTAGGTACATTTCTCACAGTTCATGTTAATAGCAATACATTGTAAAAAATCTAAATGTGAAAAAAGGATAAAATAACTTGTAGGGATCTATAAGGAGAGATGTTAGATACCCACTAAAAATTATAATGCAAGTGACTTCCTGCTGGCAAGGATAAAAAAGAAAAAATATATAATGCAGGGATATTCTAAGTGACATGGGTGGAGTTTACAATATTTTTAAATAAAAGGTACTTTACACACAAAAATAAGGCATTGATCTTTTTTTTTGTAAAAATAATGCATATTTCTTTTTTTTTTTTTTT